GGGGTGAAGGGCAGGGGGCACGCAGTGCAGGGTGGAGCATGGTGAATGGGCATGCAGTTCTGGGGGAGCACAGGGAAAGACGCACAATGCAAGGGGTGGCATGGGGGAAAGGGTGGGGGGGAGCACATGGGAAGGGGCACATGGAGCGAGGGGAGCATGGGAAAAGGGCATGGGGAAAGGGACTGTGTGAAGCAAGAAAAATGCAGGGAAGAGGCTAGGGTTTCCACCCATCCGTAAATGGGCATGGCAGTCCTGAAATGGGAACCTGAAATCCCAGTGCCAGACTGCATGACTCTGGGAGAGCATTTGTCCTGGATTCTCAGTGTTGTGCAGGGATCTAGGTTTTCCATTCACTACAGAAAACTGTGGGAAATAGTGGGTTTCCCCTTGCAGACTGGTACCATTCCAGCCTGCAAGGGACTGCTTGGACTCAGGGAAGCGGGACACAGGTGGTGCCACATATATATGTGCGCCTGCACACGTGCACGTGGCTGGGAATACAACCAGGCAGTGTGGAAAGCAGCTCCCTGCAGGTAAAAGTCTATGGTGGGGGGAGGGGACATGGAGGGGCAGATTAAGACCCCCCCATGGTGAGGGAGGGTGTGGGTCAGAGTCTGGGATCCTGGGAGCTGCCTAGCTGGGGAAGTGTATAGGGTCAGGGTGGGGAATGGGATGGAGCCACAAGGGGATTGTCTTGGGGGAGGGCATGGCTCCCCACTGCTGTGTGTGCTCCAGAGGAGGGCCGGGAGGGCATGGGAAGGCACATGCCCCCCCAGATTTGTGTGCAGGGCCAGGGTGAATGCAGTCTGCCTGCTGTAGGCTTGGGGTTCGCCACCCTGCTGCCCTCCCCCCATGGTGAGGTGCTCCCTGCTTGTCTGGCAGCAGGAGTGTGTGGCAGCGATGGCGGTGTGGAGTTGTGCCCCCCAGTGCTGCCGGGTAGGCAGGGGTGCATGGCCAGTGTGGAGTTCCCAGGGGAAAAGTAGCAGGGTGGGGAGCCCCAAGCCTGCACCGGGCAGCCTGCATCTGCCCCCACTGTGCTCAGCTCTGCTCCAGCTGTGCCACCAGCAGGTGGGGGGGAGGAAGGGTGGAATAGGCATGTGTCCTGCCTTTCCATTTTGAAAAGGTGGTCACCCTAGAAGGGGCATGTGGTGCGGGGGGCAGCATGGGGAAGGGGCATGCAGGGGTAATGCATGGAAAGGGATGCACAGAGAAGTGGGGGAGCACAGGGAAGGGGTGTATGGAGTGTCAGGGGAAGCAGTTACAGCTCTGGCCCTGACTAATTTGGGCTGGGGGTTGGAGGCTGGAACTGGAGGTGTCACTTCTGCCTGGCTTGGTGGAGATGGAGCCAGAGCAGCTATAAAGGTGGCGGGGGTGGGGCGGGGGCAGGAAATACAAGTGGCAAGAGGGGAAGTGACAAGTGGGGCAAAAGGGGCATGGGACCCTGCTGCTAATTTTCTTGCTACTACTTTCCTTGTTTCAGTGGTACATGGGATGATTTTAAGAGGACTCTCCAACAACTAGATTCTGGATATGGGAAATTAGATGTATAATTTTCCATGTCTGGAGTCTATTAATTGGGGGGTTGTCTTAAATTCAGAGTCATCTTGAATTTGGGTAAATACGGTATTTGCCTATTACTTCTAAAATCTAATCATAGAGTTAACAGCTATGCTTTGAAAGACAGCATTTGCTAATTGTATTTGTCACATTCTTTCCTAGTTAAAGGTAAGATATGGGATGGATTTTTATTTTTTTTTCTTGGTATTTGCAACAAAATCTACTGAGGAGGGTGAATGTTTCCCTTCAGTTACCTGTTTTTAATAAGCTATGTACAATGTATCAATAATGCTAATTAAAAAACAGCTTCTACACTTCATTTACATGTTGTTCATGTTGGTTTTATAGAGATCAAAAATACATCCTGGCAAATACTAAAACTTAATGTTTATGATTCTGAGACACTGTTCAGTGATGCATGCAAGGAAAAGAACCACATATCCTGCTAGCGTGATAGGCTGCCTACAAATATGCTCATGCGCATTCTAATTAAAACATGTTGAGGCAGACTTGATTAAGTCCACTCCGCGTTATAATTAGAACACTCTAGTGTCACTTCACCATCACGTGTTAAGTCCCCCATGTTTCAAAATGGCTGCAGGGGTGCTTTGCATAATAGGCATGTGTACAGGCAGCCATACAAGTTTTGTGGCAGGTTTCTCTTGTTTTATGTTGAAAGTCTGGCTTCATATTAGGCCATCCATGTGAAGAAATCTGAGGAGTCTCTTTTGACTTATTCAAATGGAAAAGAATATGGACATAGTAAATTTGTTTTGGTTATAAATGGAGGCCTTCCATGGACAGCAAAAGGTTAGCAGATGATTCATCATGGCTAGCCTCACTATCGAAACTCCTTATCACTCAGACAGACTCAAATGAACTAAAACATTGGGCAAAATCATTCTAAAGTCACTGGCAACTTTTCTGAGAGGCCAGTATTTCACCCACTGCATTTGCAACAACTGTTTTTGATCAATAATGCCTTGCAAACAGGGTTTAGAAATGGAACCTGTCCTTAGCCTTGAGGTACTCCCCCAAGTGATTCACAAATTTGATGAGGGGCAATTTATTTACAAATGAAAGTAGCTAAGGGCTTATCTACAGATGGAGTTGTTTCTGATTACCTGTTCTTAATTAACTCTATGTGCAGACACTCTCTTATTCTAGAACACGAGTCCCTTAACTGTCTGTCTGTCTAGTCCCTTGATGGAAAAGTACTGACAATCATTTCTAGTACCTTTCTTAAAATAGGTTTATGACTTAGTGTTTTTTAATGTTCTGGGACATCACTTGCTACTGCTACTGATTCTAAAAAACACAACTCAAAATCCTGTTGTTCATGGGATACTTCTTCTAACCTCTAGAACAGTGGTTCTCAAGCTTTGCAGACTTAAGACACTTCTCATGAGACTCAAAGCATCCCTCAGAAAATGCCAGCACTTAGCTTTCACTCATTTCTTGACTACAGAAAAAATAGAGCAATTCTGCTACTTCAGAGAACTCAGAAAGACCACAACAGGTCAGAATGTTTTGACATTATGGATTCCTATTTGAAATCTTAGGATTTATGTTGTGAATCGTATGTAGGTGTTTGTACACACAAAAGCTATTACTGTGTAGCATACCACACTGCCCTTCAATGGATCTATCAGCGCCTCAGGGTGCTGAGGCACCCTGATTGAGAATCACTGCTCTAGAATCAGTTTTACTGGACATGACTGACCTATGCTAGAGGTATTACTAAATCTGAAACTGTTGATCAAAGCTAATGGGATCTTTCTGCACTTCAGAACATGTGCAGAAAAGTGGAAGGAGGTAGGGAGTGACAGAACAAGAAGGGTCCAGGGCAGCCTGGGCTGGAGATGTATCCTTACTAATGTAGTAATGATGTCCTTTGCACAAAACTTGAGATTAGCAACATAGACCATGCTTTTGTGGAATAGGCCAGAAGAGGTAGAAATAAAGTGAAATATGGTAATTTAGGTAAGATATTAAAATTCCAAAAAGAGGAATGGACCGTGTCAAATATATCCAGATATATTTTATATTTGGTTTTCTGATTCTGTTCATATATGTGATGGTAAATGCTTCCTAGAATTTTTATGCCATTTTATTTGTATATTCAGAGCTTTAAAACCCAGCACATGCAGACACACCCACACTAACATTTTTTTAGGGCTTGATCTCATGCCCAGTAAAGTCAACATATAATTGTACGTGGCCTTCAGCGGGTTTGGCTGAGACACATAGCCCCTGATTTTGTTGAGATAACATGTAACATACTGGAAAAAAACATGTCCTTTAAAATCTTCAGTTTTTACTTTCTATCTATCTATCTATCTATCTATCTATCTATCTATCTATCTATCTATCTATCTATCTATCACACTACTTTCTGTCTTGAGTTTTTTTGCCTGCTTTTTTTGAAAGCCATCATCCTAATTCCACTATATTCACTCTTACTTGTTTCTAGGATAAGATTCTGCCACTATTGTTCATAGTGAGTGCATCATGACAATATACGCATTCAGGGACATGGGAGCAGATTTTCTGCTCATAGGAGCAGACTGCTTCCTCACTCTGTGGCCCTGCACCAGGCCCCTGCTGCAGCCAGCAGAGCTCTAGGCTCCTCCTGGGTGCTAACCCAGGGGCCAGCAGAGAGCACAGGACCAGGAGACAGCTGTCTCCTCACAGGGGCTGGGACATTGCTCCCTGTCCCTGGGAGCTGCCTGTTGTCAGGGTGAACTCTGCCACTGGAGCCTGGGTGGTGGGGACATTGTCCCCCTGCCCTGGCAGCAGGGAGCTCCCAACCCCCACTTCCCAGTTGCTATAAGAATTTCAAAGCCCAGGCCCTGTGACTGGAGAGCTCAGGCTGGGAGATGAGAAACTTCCATCAGCAGCCCTGCAATCGTGGAGCTGGCACTGGGAGATAAGTATCTCCCAGCTTCCGCTCCCTGATCGCGATCAGGAGAAGTGGACTTGGGAGCTCCCTGTTGCCGGGGCAGAGGGACATTGGGCTCCAGTGGTGGAACCTTCCAGCAGCTCCCGGGGGAAGGGAACAATCCCCTGCCTCCTGCTGCCCAGCCGACCAGGACCCTATTTGCTCCTGATCAGCTGTCTACACGTGCTGTACTGCACGGTAAGTAATTGAGAGTAAAAACGCTACTTTTATTTACAGGTAGCAAATTTACTCATGGTTAGAGCTAATTACTGTGCAGTAAGCATCTGCACATGTAGATGGTGACGCTTACTGCGCAGTAATTAGCTCTAACCTTGAGTAAAGCATCGCATGTAGATGCACCCTGTGAGTAGTAACACCAGCAGTCCATTGTTCTCAAAAGTCCTATTCATTCTTGCATTATGAGTAGAGGCTGAACACGGAAGTAGCTATATTACACATTATAATGCAGTAATCATTGGAACCATTTCCTTACAACTTCCAGAATTTTATGTATGCTTATACCTACTGTTACGTGCCAACAGAACCCTAAATGAAAATGAACAGAAATCCTGTGGGCACAAGAGCTTTTCAAGACCAGGATTTACCAGAATATGAATTTTGGAAACGCATGAAGACTAACAGTGCATGTGATATCTGGATACTGCATTGGAGGCATATTGTGGGCCAATACAGTCAACAGAATAACAGACATGGATCCAGAAGACAAACTATCAGTTGTGCAAAGTGGGCAAACAGCACAAGATACAAAGCACAGGTAATGATAATGAACAAAGCATGCAAAGCATTTGCAATGAGGTAAATACTGTGATTTGCCACCTCTGTCAATTTTTTTTATTAATGCATCTTATCAGTCAGATACTAGAGACAGAGTATTTTGCAAACAAACTATTTCTGTATTATCTTCCTTTCCATGGTAATACTATACTAGAGCTTAAAGCAGGGGCAGACAAAATACAACCTGCAGGTCGTATCCAGCCTGCCAGGCAATTGCATCTGGCCCAAGGGGCCCCTCCATAAGCCCTGGTCCTGGGCTGCCCCCCTGCAAGCCAGTGCCTCGCTGCAGGAGGTGCGGCTCTGGTTGCTAAGCAACCACCCCTCCACCACAGCCTGGCCTGACCAGCCCCAGTCCTGAGCAGGGGGGCTCTAGAGATGAGAAGCCTCTGCCTGGCAGAGGCCTTTGCTTGGCTGCCCCATGGCGGTCCCAGCCTTTCTGCCTGTCAGCCTGGGTATTCAGTGAAGGACCCCATAGGGCTAGAGCCTCCCATTGGGGGAAAGAGGGTGGGAGCACAGGGAGCTGTGTACTGTGGGGTTGGGCTGGGTTTGCTCTGCATGCTGCAGGAGCTGAGTGCTATGGTGCCAGGTCAGGCTGGCCCCACGTGCTGCCACCACATGCGGTCAGGGACAAAGGTGGGAGCGCAGGAGCCACATGCTATAGGGCTGGGTGGAGCTGGCCCCACGTGCTGCTGCCACCTGTGGCCAGGGATTGGGGTGGGAGCACAGAGAGCTGTGTGCTAGGGGGCCAGGTGGAGCTGGCCCTACTTACTGCCACCACGTGCAGCTCCATGGACTCTCACACCCTGGACTCTGAGGCCCCTCCCCACCCCACACACATACTGACACCTTCCCACACACATCACCCCCCAGCATAACCCTGAACACATCCACACCCTCCCACAGCCCCCATCCCCCACCCCATCATACCTACACCCCCCCACTCCAACCAT